CTCTCCTCTGCTCTCTCTCCTCTGCTCTCTCCTCTGCTCCTCTCTCCTCTGCTCCCTCTCCTCTGCTCCTCTCTCCTCTGCTCCACTCTCCTCTGCTCCTCTCTCCTCTGCTCCTCTCACCTCCTCTGCTCCACTCTACTCTGCTCCACTCTACTCTGCTCCTCTCACCTTCTCTGCTTCTCTGTTACCTCCTCTTCTCTCCTTCTCTCACCTCCTCCTCCTCTGCTCCTCAGATCCTCCGGGAGGCGTCTCCTCCGATCCCCACGCTGCAGAAGAAGCTGCTCAGCCCTCATCCTCCCACTGTGGAGAGCTCCATCTGCCCTATGTCTGTAAGTGAGAGACCAGGAAGAGAGACCAGGAAGAGAGACCAGGAAGAGAGACCAGAGAGAGAGACCAGGAAGAGAGACCAGGAAGAGAGACCAGGAAGAGAGACCAGGAAGAGAGACCAGGAAGAGAGACCAGGAAGAGAGACCAGGAAGAGAGACCAGGAAGAGAGACCAGGAAGAGAGACCAGGAAGAGAGACCAGGAAGAGAGACCAGGAAGAGAGACCAGGAAGAAAGACCAGGGAGAGAGACCAGAGAGAGAGACCAGAGAGAGAGACCAGAGAGAGAGACCAGAGAGAGAGACCAGAGAGAGAGACCAGAGAGAGAGACCAGAGAGAGAGACCAGAGAGAGAGACCAGAGAGAGAGACCAGAGAGAGAGACCAGAGAGAGACCAGAGAGAGAGACCAGAGAGAGAGACCAGAGAGAGAGACCAGAGAGAGACCAGGGAGAGAGACCAGGGAGAGAGACCAGGGAAAGAGACCAGAGAGAGAGACCAGAGAGAGAGAGACCAGAGAGAGAGAGACCAGAGAGAGAGAGACCAGAGAGAGAGAGACCAGAGAGAGAGAGACCAGAGAGAGAGACCAGAGAGAGAGAGACCAGAGAGAGAGAGACCAGAGAGAGAGACCAGAGAGGTCTGTGTCTGTCTGTGTGTCTGTGTGTCTGTGTGTGTCTCTGTGTGTGTGTGTGTGTGTGTGTGTGTGTGTGTGTGTGTGTGTGTGTGTGTGTGTCTCTGTGTGTGTGCACTTGTTTTCAACTCCTAGTGGGTTCCATAACCTGAGATTCCACTCACGTCATGGGGACTGGTTTAGCGTGGTGGGGCCCGAACACCGGACCCCACTGGTCCAAGCTTAATAATCAATGGGTAATGCTTTTCTAACGGTCCTTATGCAGTCTCTGTAAAAATATGGAAAGGACCCCTGGAGGTTTACTTTCCTGAAAAAAGTGTGTTATGTGTCGGAACCCTGGTGGTGGGTTGCGGGATATCAAGGAGGGGCACACTGGGGCAATTTCAGTCCAGCAGGCTGGAGCCAATCATGGAGCAGCACAACAGAGGCTGGAGCCAATCATGGAGCAGCACAACAGAGGCTGGAGCCAATCATGGAGCAGCACAACAGAGGCTGGAGCCAATCATGGAGCAGCACAACAGAGGCTGGAGCCAATCATGGAGCAGCACAACAGAGGAAGTCAGGTGTCAGGCTAGAAAAGGTGCAAGTGTGTGGTTCATTAGGCTGCAGCCAATCACAGAGCAGCACACTGAAGCGCACGCTTACAAACCACTGGTAAGTGCTGACTACAAGTCATGACTTCAAATTGTTATATAGAATGATTACAAATTATTTGTTGTTTGTGCAGCTTAGTCAAGAGTCCCTAATTGATGAAGTCGACTCAGATTCTGACGATTTAACTGTCAAGAAGAAACCTGTAAAAAAGTATGGAAAAAGAAAAATCAAAAACACTTTTCTTCAAGACTCGGAAAGTGACGAACCAAAGGCAAATAAGATTGTTATCATGCAGCTGCAAAAGAAGAAAAATGGGGGGAGGAGTTTACAGCAAGAGGCACTTCTGCCTCTACTGTTCAATGTCCTGCCACAAAATGTCCCGTCATTTGACTAGAAAACATGGAAATGAAAGTGACGTAGCCAGAGCATTGGCTCTACCTGTGAAATCTAAAGCACGTAAACTTCAGTTTGATTTGATCAGGAATAGTGGAAACCGTGAGCACAATGTTGAGGTTTTAAAGGCCGGCATTGGAACTTTAGTCCCAGCTAAACAGCCAAATTGCCCAGTTAAATCCAGTGAGTTTTTGCACTGTATAGACTGTGGGGCATTGCTTAAGCGAAAGTCGCTGTGGAGGCATGTGGCCAGGTGCCGGCTTTCACAGAAAGATGCCCAGGCTAAACAGGCTAAACCAGGCTAAACCAGGTAGAAGTAGGGTCCAGTCCCTCTGCTCCCTAGCCCAGCCTGTACCGGAGGGCATCAGCAAAAAGCTGTGGTCTTTAATTTGGGCAATGCATCAGGATGAGGTCACGGGTGTTGTCAAAGCAGAAAAGGGGATTCTGAGACTCGGAGAGCACCTGTACTTAAAACACGGGCATGATAAGACAAAGCATGATTACATTAGGCAGAAAATGAGAGAAGTCGGTAGGTTAATTAACGAAGCAAAAACCGCAGGGAAACTGAAAACAATTAAGGATTTCTTTATTCCTTCCAACTTTAACCATGTGATTGATGCAGTCAGGTCTGTGGCTGGATATGATGAGGAAACAAATCAATACAAGACTCCATCCTTGGCCCTCAAACTCGGCCATAGCCTCAGAAAGCAGATATTCTTGAATGTGACTCAAAAATGGAGCATTGTGTTGATGAACTATTTATTAAAAACCTCCAACGAAGCCGGCTGCTTTTTGAGAAGAGGTGGGACGTCTGTGTTTCTTCTGCTGCCCTACAGACCCTCCGGCAAGCCAAGTGGAACACTCCGGACCTGCTCCCTCTGACTGAGGACGTTAGAGCCATGCATGCACATATTGAGGTATGTCGACCTGAATATGTGCAAACCCTAATAAGTGAGCCAACGTCTAAGCATTGGTCTAAACTGGCAGTTTTGACTCTTTGTGAGGTCATCATTTTCAATCGAAGAAGGGAAGGTGAGGTTTCAAAGATGCCACTGACAGCCTTTACCTTAAGAAGTAAGACTGGGATCCATTCTGACATTGCTCTGGGACTGTCCCAACTTGAGAAAAAGCTGTGTCAGCATTTTCAACGCATTGAAATTAAAGGGAAAAGAAGTCGGAAAGTGCCGGTTCTTTTGACTCCTGAAATGATTGGATGGAGGTGCTGGTGGAGAACAGAAGGGCCTGTTCCATCTCTGACCATAACCCATACTTCTTTTCCCGCCCGGGCGCAGACACCCACATCAGGGGATCAGACTCCCTACGCCAGGTAGCCAAAGAATGTGGTGCGGTGCATCCAGAGATGCTATCCTCAACCAAACTTAGAAAGCACATAGCTACTATGTCTACAGTTCTCAATATGAAAGAGAATGAGATGGACATACTTGCCAACTTCCTCGGCCATGACATTCGCATCCACAGGCAATATTACAGACTACCAGAGGGGACACTGGAGCTGGCCAAAATCAGCAAAGTGTTGATGGCCATGGAGCAGGGAAGAGTGACGGAATTCGAAGGAAAGAGCCTCGACCAGATACAAATTGAGCCTGAAGGTAATTCTTGATATTATTAAAATATGTATGATTTTTTTCCCCTAAAGGCCACTTGTATTTTTATTTTCTGTGCGACAGGGAGAGCAGTAGAGATCCTCTCACAAACGGACGGGCTAAAAGAAACTTCAAGCGGAGAACCTTCAACCATTCATCCAGATGCACCCCATGGTAGTGGCAGTGCCCCTTCTGGTAAGTGTACCAGGTGGGGGATTACAGCCAGGCTGCTTGGTCCTAACCCTGGGAGTGTATATTGCTAATATATTTTTATTTCTCTCCCTAGAACGTTAGAGAAAGCCATGGTCTGCATCTGAGGTGAAGGCTGTGGAGAAGACCATGACACCTTTCATACAGACTGGAAAGGTCCCTGGGAAGTCTCACTGCCTGGCCTGGCCTGGCCTGGCCTGCATTAATGCCTCACCAGATGACCTTAGACATCGGACATGGAGTGGCATTAAATTCTATGTCAAAAATAGAATCACTGCAATTCGAAAACAAAATCTAAAATAAAATTCCTTTAAAATAGTTGTTTGGTTTCTATTGACTGTTTTGTATTACTTAAAGTCTTGGTAAAAAAAGATTATGTCTATGGGTCCCATTCTGAACGGCCCTGTCAAAGGGACCCACCAGGTAACAAAAACGTGTATGTGTGTGTGTGTCTGTGTGTGTGTGTGTCTGTGTGTGTCTGTGTGTGTGTGTGTCTGTGTGTGTGTGTGTCTGTGTGTAACCAGATCTCCTCTGTCTCTAACAGACGTCTCCTCCTGTTCCTGCGCGAAGGAACCAGCTCCGAGCTGCAGGTACCACACACTTCATGACCAGGAGGAGAGAGACCAGGAGGAGAGAGACCAGGAGGAGAGAGACCAGGAGGAGAGAGACCAGGGAGAGAGACCAGGGAGAGAGACCAGGAGGAAGGAGAGAGACCAGGAGAGAGACCAGGGAGAGACCAGGGAGAGAGAGACCATGAAGAGAGAGACCATGAGGAGAGAGACCAGGGAGAGAGACCAGGGGGAGAGAGACCAGGGGGAGAGAGACCAGGAGGAGAGAGACCAGGGGGAGAGAGACCAGGAGGAGAGAGACCAGGAGGAGAGAGACCAGGAGGAGAGAGACCAGGAGGCGAGAGACCAGGGAGAGAGACCAGGGAGAGAGACCATGAAGAGAGAGACCATGAGGAGAGAGACCATGAAGAGAGAGACCATGAGGAGAGAGACCAGGGAGAGAGACCAGGGGGAGAGAGACCAGGGGGAGAGAGACCAGGAGGAGAGAGACCAGGGAGAGACCAGGGAGAGAGACCATGAGGAGAGAGACCAGGAGGAGGGAGACCAGGGGGGAGTCTAGAAGGGGGGAGACCAGGAGGAGGGAGACCAGCAAGGGAAGCCAAAATTCACACATACACACTCGTGAAAACTAGTGACTCTGTGTTTGTACCTGTGCTTTACCATGTGACTCTATGTTTGTACCTGTGCTTTACCATGTGACTCTGTGTTTGTTTCTGTGCTTTACCATGTGACTCTGTGTTTGTACCTGTGCTTTACCATGTGACTCTGTGTTTGTACCTGTGCTTTACCATGTGACTCTTTGTTTGTACCTGTGCTTTACCATGTGACTCTGTGTTTGTACCAGTGCTTTACCATGTGACTCATGTGACTCTGTGTTTGTACCTGTGCTTTACCATGTGACTCTTTGTTTGTACCTGTGCTTTACCATGTGACTCTGTGTTTGTACCAGTGCTTTACCATGTGACTCTGTGTTTGTTCCAGTGCTTTACCATGTGACTCTGTGTTTGTACCTGTGCTTTACCATGTGACTCTTTGTTTGTACCTGTGCTTTACCATGTGACTCTGTGTTTGTACCAGTGCTTTACCATGTGACTCTGTGTTTGTACCAGTGCTTTACCATGTGACTCTGTGTTTGTTCCAGTGCTTTACCATGTGACTCTGTGTTTGTACCTGTGCTTTACCATGTGACTCTGTGTTTGTACCTGTGCTTTACCATGTGACTCTTTGTTTGTACCTGTGCTTTACCATGTGACTCTGTGTTTGTACCTGTGCTTTACCATGTGACTCTGTGTTTGTACCAGTGCTTTACCATGTGACTCTGTGTTTGTACCTGTGCTTTACCATGTGACTCTGTGTTTGTACCTGTGCTTTACCATGTGACTGTGTTTGTACCTGTGCTTTACCATGTGACTGTGTTTGTACCTGTGCTTTACCATGTGACTCTGTGTTTGTACCAGTGCTTTACCATGTGACTCTGTGTTTGTACCTGTGCTTTACCATGTGACTCTGTGTTTGTACCTGTGCTTTACCATGTGACTCTGTGTTTGTACCTGTGCTTTACCATGTGACTCTGTGTTTGTACCTGTGCTTTACCATGTGACTCTGTGTTTGTACCAGTGCTTTACCATGTGACTCTGTGTTTGTACCTGTGCTTTACCATGTGACTCTGTGTTTGTACCTGTGCTTTACCATGTGACTCTGTGTTTGTACCTGTGCTTTACCATGTGACTCTGTGTTTGTACCAGTGCTTTACCATGTGACTCTGTGTTTGTACCTGTGCTTTACCATGTGACTCTGTGTTTGTACCTGTGCTTTACCATGTGACTCTGTGTTTGTACCTGTGCTTTACCATGTGACTCTGTGTTTGTACCTGTGCTTTACCATGTGACTCTGTGTTCGTAGAAGAGCGAGACGTGTTCAGCGAACTCTCTGCTCTGAGGCGACACCTGAGAACACAACAGAGGCGTCTGCAGCACGAGAGAGACCTGGACCTGCTCTCTCCCATGAGTGACAGGTGAGAGACCAGAGAGAGACCAGAGGGACCAGAGAGAGAGACCAGGGAGAGACCAGAGGAACCAGAGAGAGAGACCAGAGGGACCAGAGAGAGAGACCAGGGAGAGACCAGAGAGAGAGACCAGAGAGAGGGACCAGAGAGAGGGACCAGAGAGAGGGACCAGAGAGAGGGACCAGAGAGAGGGACCAGAGAGAGGGACCAGAGAGAGGGACCAGAGAGAGAGACCAGAGAGAGAGACCAGAGAGAGAGACCAGAGAGAGAGACCAGGACCTGCTCTCTGAGTGGAGGACACAAGTTTAGAGTTTAAACCAACTTCAGGAGGTTTCACTGTCATCTGTAAACAGACTGCAGCTCTGTTTTTTATCTCTCTCTGTCTCTCTCTCTCTGTCTCTCTCTCTCTCTGTCTCTCTCTGTCTCTCTCTGTCTCTCTCTCTCTCTCTGTCTCTATCTCTCTGTCTCTCTCTCTCTGTCTCTCTCTCCTCTCTGTAGGGAGGGAGAGCGCCCCCTGGTGGATGTGTTTGACAGAGCTCGTCTCCGGCTCCAGGCTGTGGTCCACAGAGGATCCAGCAGAGAACCCAAGAACCTGCGACAGATCCACCACTCACTGCAGCTGCAAGACCACGGTGAGACCAGGACTGAGGCTGAGACCAGGACTGAGGCTGAGACCAGGACTAAGGCTGAGACCAGGACCGAGGCTGAGACCAGGACCAGGACCAGGACTGAGACCAGGACCAAGGCTGAGACCAGGACCGAGGCTGAGACCAGGACTGAGGCTGAGACCAGGACTGAGGCTGAGACCAGGACCGAGGCTGAGACCAGGACCAGGACCAGGGCTGAGACCAGGACCGAGGCTGAGACCAGGACCGAGGCTGAGACCAGGACCAGGACCAGGACTGAGACCAGGACCAGGACTGAGACCAGGACCGAGGCTGAGACCAGGACCGAGGCTGAGACCAGGACCAGGACCAGGACTGAGACCAGGACCAGGACCAGGACTGAGACTAAGACTGAGACCATGACCAAGGCTAAGTCCAGGACCAGGACTGAGACCAGGACCAGGACTGAGACCAGGACCGAGGCTGAGACCAGGACCGAGGCTGAGACCAGGACCGAGGCTGAGACCAGGACCAGGACTGAGGCTGAGACCAGGACCAGGACTGAGGCTGAGACCAGGACCAGGACTGAGGCTGAGACCAGGACCAGGACTGAGGCTGAGACCAGGACCAGGACTGAGGCTGAGACCAGGACCAGGACTGAGGCTGAGACCAGGACCAGGACTGAGGCTGAGACCAGGACCAGGACTGAGGCTGAGACCAGGACCAGGACTGAGGCTGAGACCAGGACTGAGGCTGAGACCAGGACCGAGGCTGAGACCAGGACCGAGGCTGAGACCAGGACCGAGGCTGAGACCAGGACCAGGACTGAGGCTGAGACCAGGACCAGGACTGAGGCTGAGACCAGGACCAGGACTGAGGCTGAGACCAGGACCAGGACTGAGGCTGAGACCAGGACCAGGACTGAGGCTGAGACCAGGACCAGGACTGAGGCTGAGACCAGGACCAGGACTGAGGCTGAGACCAGGACCAGGACTGAGGCTGAGACCAGGACCAGGACTGAGGCTGAGACCAGGACCAGGACTGAGGCTGAGACCAGGACCAGGACTGAGGCTGAGACCAGGACCAGGACTGAGGCTGAGACCAGGACCAGGACTGAGGCTGAGACCAGGACCAGGACTGAGGCTGAGACCAGGACCAGGACTGAGGCTGAGACCAGGACCAGGACTGAGGCTGAGACCAGGACCAGGACTGAGGCTGAGACCAGGACCAGGACTGAGACCAGGATCGAGGCTGAGACCAGGATCGAGGCTGAGACCAGGATCGAGGCTGAGACCAGGATCGAGGCTGAGACCAGGACCGAGGCTGAGACCGGGACCGAGGCCGGGACCGAGGCCGGGACCGAGGCCGGGACCGAGGCCGGGACCGAGGCCGGGACCGGGGCCGAGGCCGGGACCGAGGCCGGGACCGGGGCCGAGGCCGGGACCGAGGCCGGGACCGGGGCCGGGCCGAGGCCGGGACCGAGGCCGGGACCGGGGCCGGGGCCGACCGGACCGAGGCCGGGACCGGGACCGAGGCCGGGACCGAGGCCGGGACCGAGGCCGGGACCGAGGCCGGGACCGAGGCCGGGACCGGGACCTAGGCCGGGACCGAGGCCGGGACCGAGACCGGGACCGAGACCGGGACCGAGGCCGGGACCGAGGCCGGGACCGAGGCCGGGACCGAGGCCGGGACCGAGGCCGAGGCCAGGACCGAGGCCGAGGCCAGGACCGAGGCCGAGGCCAGGACCGAGGCCGAGGCCAGACGACCGAGGCCAGGACCGAGGCCAGGACCGAGGCCGAGGCCAGGACCGAGGCCAGGACCGAGGCCAGGACCGAGGCCGAGGCCAGGACCGAGGCCAGGACCGAGGCCGAGGCCAGGACCGAGGCCAGGACCGAGGCCGAGGCCAGGACCGAGGCCGAGGCCAGGACCGAGGCCGAGACCAGGACCGGGGCCGAGACCAGGACCGGGACTGAGACCAGGACTGAGGCAGAGGGATCTATCCAAAGAGTAGAATAGTGATCACAGGGATCAGAGTAGAATAGTGATCACAGGGATCAGAGTAGAATAGTGATCACAGGGATCAGAGCAGAATAGTGATCACAGGGATCAGAGCAGAATAGTGATCACAGGGATCAGAGCAGAATAGTGATCACAGGGATCAGAGTAGAATAGTGATCACAGGGATCAGAGCAGAATAGTGATCACAGGGATCAGAGCAGAATAGTGATCACAGGGATCAGAGTAGAATAGTGACTCACAGGGATCAGAGTAGAATAGTGACTCACAGGGATCAGAGTAGAATAGTGACCATAGGGATCAGAGTAGAATAGTGATCACAGGGATCAGAGTAGAATAGTGACTCACAGGGATCAGAGTAGAATAGTGACCATAGGGATCAGAGTAGAATAGTGACTCACAGGGATCATAGTAGAATAGTGACTCACAGGGATCAGAGTAGAATAGTGACTCACAGGGATCAGAGTAGAATAGTGACTCACAGGGATCAGAGTAGAATAGTGACTCACAGGGATCAGAGTAGAATAGTGATCACAGGGATCAGAGTAGAATAGTGATCACAGGGATCAGAGTAGAATAGTGATCACAGGGATCAGAGTAGAATAGTGATCACAGGGATCAGAGTAGAATAGTGACTCACAGGGATCAGAGTAGAATAGTGATCACAGGGATCAGAGTAGAATAGTGATCACAGGGATCAGAGTAGAATAGTGATCACAGGGATCAGAGCAGAATAGTGATCACAGGGATCAGAGTAGAATAGTGATCACAGGGATCAGAGTAGAATAGTGATCACAGGGATCAGAGTAGAATAGTGACTCACAGGGATCAGAGTAGAATAGTGACTCACAGGGATCAGAGCAGAATAGTGATCACAGGGATCAGAGCAGAATAGTGACTCACAGTGATCAGAGCAGAATAGTGATCACAGGGATCAGAGCAGAATAGTGATCACAGGGATCAGAGTAGAATAGTGATCACAGGGATCAGAGTAGAATAGTGATCACAGGGATCAGAGTAGAATAGTGATCACAGGGATCAGAGTAGAATAGTGACTCACAGGGATCAGAGTAGAATAGTGACTCACAGGGATCAGAGCAGAATAGTGATCACAGGGATCAGAGCAGAATAGTGACTCACAGTGATCAGAGCAGAATAGTGATCACAGGGATCAGAGCAGAATAGTGATCACAGGGATCAGAGCAGAATAGTGATCACAGGGATCAGAGTAGAATAGTGATCACAGGGATCAGAGTAGAATAGTGATCACAGGGATCAGAGTAGAATAGTGATCAGAGCAGAATAGTGACTCACAGGGATCAGAGCAGAATAGTGATCACAGGGATCAGAGCAGAATAGTGATCACAGGGATCAGAGCAGAATAGTGATCACAGGGATCAGAGTTAAATAGTGATCACAGGGATCAGAGCAGAATAGTGATCACAGGGATCAGAGTAGAATAGTGATCACAGGGATCAGAGTAGAATAGTGACTCACAGGGATCAGAGTAGAATAGTGATCACAGGGATCAGAGCAGAATAGTGATCACAGGGATCAGAGTAGAATAGTGACTCACAGGGATCAGAGTAGAATAGTGACTCACAGGGATCATAGTAGAATAGTGACTCACAGGGATCAGAGTAGAATAGTGACTCACAGGGATCAGAGTAGAATAGTGACTCACAGGGATCAGAGTAGAATAGTGATCACAGGGATCAGAGTAGAATAGTGATCACAGGGATCAGAGTAGAATAGTGATCACAGGGATCAGAGTAGAATAGTGATCACAGGGATCAGAGTAGAATAGTGACTCACAGGGATCAGAGTAGAATAGTGATCACAGGGATCAGAGTAGAATAGTGATCACAGGGATCAGAGTAGAATAGTGATCACAGGGATCAGAGCAGAATAGTGATCACAGGGATCAGAGTAGAATAGTGATCACAGGGATCAGAGTAGAATAGTGATCACAGGGATCAGAGTAGAATAGTGACTCACAGGGATCAGAGTAGAATAGTGACTCACAGGGATCAGAGCAGAATAGTGATCACAGGGATCAGAGCAGAATAGTGACTCACAGTGATCAGAGCAGAATAGTGATCACAGGGATCAGAGCAGAATAGTGATCACAGGGATCAGAGCAGAATAGTGATCACAGGGATCAGAGTAGAATAGTGATCACAGGGATCAGAGTAGAATAGTGACTCACAGGGATCAGAGTAGAATAGTGATCAGAGCAGAATAGTGACTCACAGGGATCAGAGCAGAATAGTGATCACAGGGATCAGAGCAGAATAGTGATCACAGGGATCAGAGCAGAATAGTGATCACAGGGATCAGAGCAGAATAGTGACTCACAGGGATCAGAGTAGAATAGTGATCACAGGGATCAGAGCAGAATAGTGATCACAGGGATCAGAGCAGAATAGTGATCACAGGGATCAGAGCAGAATAGTGATCACAGGGATCAGAGCAGAATAGTGATCACAGGGATCAGAGCAGAATAGTGATCACAGGGATCAGAGTAGAATAGTGACTCACAGGGATCAGAGTAGAATAGTGATCACAGGGATCAGAGCAGAATAGTGATCACAGGGATCAGAGCAGAATAGTGATCACAGGGATCAGAGCAGAATAGTGATCACAGGGATCAGAGTAGAATAGTGATCACAGGGATCAGAGCAGAATAGTGATCACAGGGATCAGAGCAGAATAGTGATCACAGGGATCAGAGCAGAATAGTGATCACAGGGATCAGAGTAGAATAGTGATCACAGGGATCAGAGCAGAATAGTGATCACAGGGATCAGAGCAGAATAGTGATCACAGGGATCAGAGCAGAATAGTGATCACAGGGATCAGAGCAGAATAGTGATCACAGGGATCAGAGCAGAATAGTGATCACAGGGCTCTCTCCTGTTTCTCAGATCAGTCCAGACCGAGTTCTGACGTCACAAACAGCGACATCTGGAGGAATCAGAGTCAGCGCTCCTCAGCTCAGGACGGTGAGGGCCTCCTGCTGCTCCTCCTGCTCCTCTTTCCTCTCCCCCTCCACCTGTAACTCCTCTCTCCTCATGTTCCTCCTCCCTTTTCCTCTCCTTCATCTCCTCTTTTTCCTCTTCTCTCCTCCTCATCCTCTAACTCCTCCTCTCTCCTCCTTATCATGTAACTCCTCCTCATCCTCTCTCCTCATCATCCTGTAACTCCTCCTCCTCTCTCCTCCTCAGCCCCTAACGTCTCCTCTCTCACAGACTACCTGGACCTCCCTCCCACTGGTCACAGCCGTTACCTGGTGAGTGACCTCCTTCTCTCCGATGACGTTCCTCCTTTCTCCTGTTTTGTTAATGGTTTGTGTTCTGCAGAGGAGCGCTCTGGGAGGAGGATCGAGGAGGTGCTCTTTGCTGGAGTCTGAGGGAGCTTTCAGGGGTGAGACACAAACACAGCTGGTCTCTCTCTCTGGTCTCTCTCTCTGGTCTCTCTCTCTCTGGTCTCTCTCTGGTCTCTCTCTGGTGTCTCTCTCTCTGGTCTCTCTCTCTGGTCTCTCTCTCTCTGGTCTCTCTCTCTCTGGTCTCTCTCTAGTCTCTCTCTGGTCTCTCTCTGGTCTCTCTCTGGCCTCTCTCTGGTCTCTCTCTGGTCTCTCTCTGGTCTCTCTCTGGTCTCTCTCTCTCTGGTCTCTCTCTCTCTGGTCTCTCTCTCTCTGGTCTCTCTCTCTCTGGTCTCTCTCTCTGGTCTCTCTCTGGTCTCTCTCTGGTCTCTCTCTGGCCTCTCTCTGGTCTCTCTCTGGTCTCTCTCTGGTCTCTCTCTGGTCTCTCTCTGGTCTCTCTCTCTGGTCTCTCTCTCTGGTCTCTCTCTGGTGTCTCTCTCTCTGGTCTCTCTCTCTGGTCTCTCTCTCTCTGGTCTCTCTCTGGTCTCTCTCTCTGGTCTCTCTCTCTGGTCTCTCTCTCTGGTCTCTCTCTCTGGTCTCTCTCTCTGGTCTCTCTCTCTCTGGTCTCTCTCTCTCTGGTCTCTCTCTGGTCTCTCTCTAGTCTCTCTCTGGTCTCTCTCTCTGGTCTCTCTCTGGTCTCTCTCTGGTCTCTCTCTCTCTGGTCTCTCTCTCTCTGGTCTCTCTCTCTCTGGTCTCTCTCTAGTCTCTCTCTGGCCTCTCTCTGGTCTCTCTCTGGTCTCTCTCTGGTCTCTCTCTCTCTGGTCTCTCTCTCTCTGGTCTCTCTCTCTCTGGTCTCTCTCTGGTCTCTCTCTGGTCTCTCTCTCTCTGGTCTCTCTCTGGTCTCTCTCTGGTCTCTCTCTGGTCTCTCTCTGGTCTCTCTCTGGTCTCTCTCTGGTCTCTCTCTCTCTGGTCTCTCTCTCTCTGGTCTCTCTCTCTGGTATCACAGTGTGGTACGGAAGCTGCACTGTGGCTGACAGAGAGAGGCTGCAGAGAGTGGTGAGGACAGCACAGAAGATCATTGGCTGCTCTCTGCCTTCTCTGATGGACATTTACACCAGCCGCTGCCTCAGCAGAGCAGAGAACATCATTAAAGACAGCTCTCACCCTGGATTCTCTCTGTTTGACCTGTTACCCTCAGGGAGGCGGTACAGGTGCATCAGAGCAAGGACAAATAGACTGAAAAACAGCTTTTTTCCAAAAGCTGTGACACTATTGAATTCTCATATGCACTGAATTTTATATCTTTTATACTATATTTATAACTCCTGAGCAATAGATGCAACTGCGCACTTTAATGTCTCTAATAATTTCTGTGTCTGTGTATTAACTTATTCTGTGTGTACATTCCTGCACTGGTGGAGTTGCTTTTAATTTCATTATGCATGCGCATAGTGACAAATAAAGTCTAATCTAATCTCTCTGGTCTCTCTCTCTCTGGTCTCTCTCATTGTTGTCTCATTTCTTTTTCCAGATCCTCTCAGTGACGCCACTCCAGAGCTGAGGGATCCTCCTCTGTCAGCAAGAGAGAGGAGGAGGAGGAGCAGAGCACAGGTCAGTGAGGAGTAGGAGGAGCAGAGCACAGGTCAGTGAGGAGGTGGGGCAGAGGACAGGTCAGTGAGGAGGAGGAGCAGAGGACAGGTCAGTGAGGAGGAGGAGCAGAGGACAGGTCAGTGAGGAGGAGGAGCAGAGGACAGGTCAGTGAGGAGGAGGAGCAGAGGACAGGTCAGTGAGGAGGTGGGGCAGAGGACAGGTCAGTGAGGAGGAGGAGCAGAGCACAGGTCAGTGAGGAGGAGGAGCAGAGGACAGGTCAGTGAGGAGGAGGAGCAGAGTAAAGGTCAGTGAGGAGTAGGAGGAGCAGAGCACAGGTCAGTGAGGAGGAGAAGCAGAGTAAAGGTCAGTGAGGAGGAGGAGCAGAGCACAGGTCAGTGAGGAGGTGGGGCAGAGGACAGGTCAGTGAGGAGGAGGAGGAGGAGCAGAGCAAAGGTCAGTGAGGAGTAGGAGGAGCAGAGCACAGGTCAGTGAGGAGGAGGAGCAGAGGACAGGTCAGTGAGGAGTAGGAGGAGCAGAGCACAGGTCAGTGAGGAGGAGGAGCAGAGGACAGGTCAGTGAGGAGGAGGAGCAGAGCACAGGTCAGTGAGGAGGAGGAGCAGAGCACAGGTCAGTGAGGAGTAGGAGGAGCAGAGCACAGGTCAGTGAGGAGGAGGAGCAGAGGACAGGTCAGTGAGGAGTAGGAGGAGCAGAGCACAGGTCAGTGAGGAGGAGGAGCAGAGGACAGGTCAGTGAGGAGGAGGAGCAGAGCACAGGTCAGTGAGGAGGAGGAGCAGAGGACAGGTCAGTGAGGAGGAGGAGCAGAGTAAAGGTCAGTGAGGAGGAGGAGGAGCAGAGTAAAGGTCAGTGAGGAGGAGCAGAGGACAGGTCAGTGAGGAGGAGGAGCAGAGCAAAGGTCAGTGAGGAGGAGGAGCAGAGGACAGGCCAGTATAGCTCAGGAACAGGAGTAGAGGAGGAGGAGCAGGAGGTGACTGATGACCTCTGACTCCTGTTTTTGTGTCCTCAGACTGGAGCCTCCTCGACTCGTGAGGAGGCGCAGAGCGGCAGCAGCTTAAGTGGAAAGAACAAGGGTCAGAATTAAAGCTGCTGTCTGTGGGATTCACTGTCTGCTGTGCACCTCCTTTTGGATTGGTCTCTCTCTCTGGTCTCTCTCTCTGGTCTCTCTCTGGTGTCTCTCTCCCTGGTCTCTCTCCCTGTTCTCTCTCCCTGTTCTCTCTCTCTGGTCTCTCTCCCTGGTCTCTCCCTGGTCTCTCTCTGGTCTCTCTCCCTGGTCTCTCCCTGGTCTCTCCCTGGTCTCTCCCTGGTCTCTCCCTGGTCTCTCTCTCCCTGGTCTCTCTCCCTGGTTTCTCTCTCCCTGGTCTCTCTCTCCCTGGTCTCTCTCTCCCTGGTCTCTCTCCCTGGTCTCTCTCTCCCTGGTCTCTCTCCCTGGTCTCTCTCCCTGGTCTCTCTCTCTGGTCTCTCTCCCTGGTCTCTCTCTCCCTGGTCTCTCTCTCCCTGGTCTCTCTCCCTGGTCTCTCTCTCCCTGGTCTCTCTCTCCCTGGTCTCTCTCCCTGGTCTCTCTCTCCCTGGTCTCTCTCTCCCTGGTCTCTCTCCCTGGTCTCTCTCTCCCTGGTCTCTCTCTCTGGTCTCTCTCTCTGGTCATATCAGATATTCATGATGACTTCTGTGTTGCCTCTCTCTCCTGCAGCAGCTGTGGGTTCAGACGAAGACTCCGACCCTCCTCCTCCTCAGAGAAACCGATGGAGACGACCGACCCTCCCCTCTCAGCCAATCAGAAGAGAGCACCTGGCCTTATGACATCACGCCCACAACTAAGACCACAGCACATGATTCCATGCTCCTCCTCCTCCTCCTCCTCCTCCTCCTCCTCCTCCTCAGTTCAGAATACATTATGAATCAGTTAAAGGTGATGTCCGCAACTTTTATACTGTATTTATACTTCATTTTTAAAAGTTTCTTACCTTGGGACCAGAGAGAGAGAGACCAGAGAGAGAGAGACCAGAGAGAGAGACCAGAGAGAGAGAGACCAGAGAGAGACCAGAGAGAGAGACCAGAGAGAGAGAGACCAGAGAGAGAGAGACCAGAGAGAGGCCAGAGAGAGAGAGACCAGAGAGAGAGAGACCAGAGAGAGAGAGACCAGAGAGAGAGACCAGACAGAGACCAGAGAGAGAGACCAGAGAGAGACCAGAGAGAGAGAGAGACCAGAGAGAGAGAGACCAGAGAGAGAGAGACCAGAGAGAGAGACCAGAGAGAGACCAGAGAGAGAGACCAGAGAGAGACCAGAGAGAGACCAGAGAGAGACCAGAGAGAGAGACCAGAGAGAGAGAGACCAGAGAAAGAGAGACCAGAGAGAGACCAGAGAGAGAGAGACCAGAGAGAGACCAGAGAGAGAGAGACCAGAGAGAGAGAGACCAGAGAGAGAGAGACCAGAGGAGGTGCCCTTATTGTCACAGATGTAAAACTAAACATGACGCAGACTCTTCGATGTATTTCTATGTAATGATGATGTTTTAAATAAAGATATTTTCCGTATTCTGTTCCAGTCCGAGTGTGATGCTAATGCTAATGCTAATGCTAATGCTAGCTACAGTTTGGATCAAACCAGACATTAGTTTATACATAACTCACTCTGTTCTTAGAAGAAAACATCAGCTACAGCTAAAGCTAGCACTGGTTTAACACATGGTATAACACATGGTAGATTCACACCTGTGGATACTGGTTTAACACATGGTAGACTCACACCTGTGGATACTGGTTTAACACATGGTAGATTCACACCTGTGGATACTGGTTTAACACATGGTAGACTCACACCTGTGGATACTGGTTTAACACATGGTAGACTCACACCTGTGGATACTGGTTTAACACATGGTAGACTCACACCTGTGGATACTGGTTTAACACATGGTAGACTCACACCTGTGGATACTGGTTTAACACATGGTAGACTCACACCTGTGGATACTGGTTTAACACATGGTAGACTCACACCTGTGGATACTGGTTTAACACATGGTAGACTCACACCTGTGGATACTGGTTTAACACATGGTAGACTCACACCTGTGGATACTGGTTTAACACATGGTAGACTCACACCTGTGGATACTGGTTTAACACATGGTAGATTCACACCTCTGGATACTGGTTTAACACATGGTAGATTCACACCTGTGGATACTGGTTTAACACATGGTAGACTCTCACCTGTGGATACTGGTTTAACACATGGTAGATTCACACCTGTGGATACTGGTTTAACACATGGTAGACTCACACCTGTGGATACTGGTTTAACACATGGTAGACTCTCACCTGTGGATACTGGTTTAACACATGGTAGACTCACACCTGTGGATACTGGTTTAACACATGGTAGACTCTCACCTGTGGATACTGGTTTAACACATGGTAGACTCACACCTGTGGATACTGGTTTAACACATGGTAGACTCACACCTGTGGATACTGGTTTAACACATGGTAGACTCTCACCTGTGGATACTGGTTTAACACATGGTAGACTCACACCTGTGGATACTGGTTTAACACATGGTAGATTCACACCTGTGGATACTGGTTTAACACATGGTAGATTCACACCTGTGGATACTGGTTTAACACATGGTAGACTCACACCTGTGGATACTGGTTTAACACATGGTAGACTCTCACCTGTGGATACTGGTTTAACACATGGTAGATTCACACCTGTGGATACTGGTTTAACACATGGTAGATTCACACCTGTGGATACTGGTTTAACACATGGTAGATTCACACCTGTGGATACTGGTTTAACACATGGTAGACTCACACCTGTGGATACTGGTTTAACACATGGTAGACTCACACCTGTGGATACTGGTTTAACACATGGTAGACTCACACCTGTGGATACTGGTTTAACACATGGTAGACTCACACCTGTGGATACTGGTTTAACACATGGTAGACTCACACCTGTGGATACTGGTTTAACACATGGTAGACTCACACCTGTGGATACTGGTTTAACACATGGTAGACTCTCACCTGTGGATACTGGTTTAACACATGGTAGACTCACACCTGTGGATACTGGTTTAACACATGGTAGACTCACACCTGTGGATACTGGTTTAACACATGGTAGACTCACACCTGTGGATACTGGTTTAACACATGGTAGACTCACACCTGTGGATACTGGTTTAACACATGGTAGATTCACACCTGTGGATACTGGTTTAACACGTTCACATTTATTTGACAGAAACATGTCATTCCTCATCTGGCCACCAGAGGGCGGCAGTGCATCAGCTGTGGAGCGGCTCCTGAGGCTCATACTACAGTATTGTGATCCATACACTTCATACAGAGACCAGAACGAGACCTGAGAGAGACCAGAAAGAGACCAGAGAGAGACCAGAGAGAGACCTGAGAGAGACCAGAAAGAGACCAGAGAGAGACCAGAGAGAGACCAGAAAGAGAAACTGGAGCGAGACCAGAGAGAGACTGTAGGTGTCCTTCTTGGTGCCTCATTTCTCTCTTTGATGGTTTCTTTTCTTCATTAAACAGGACTTTTGTGATATCTGACATTTCCTGTGATCAGAGCGACTCTGTCTCTTTCATCTGTAAACACAGAACTGTACCAACCTGCTTCAGCATCAGGGACTAAGGAGAGACCAGAGGGAGAGACCAGCGAGAGACCAGAGAGAGACCAGAGACCCGAGAGACCAGAGAGAGACCAGAGAGAGACCAGAGAGAGACCAGAGAGAGACCAGAGAGAGACCAGAGAGAGACCAGAGAGAGAGACCAGAGAGAGACCAGAGAGAGAGACCAGAGAGAGAGACCAGAGAGAGAGACCAGGGAGAGACCAGAGAGAGACCAGAGAGAGACCAGAGAGAGAGACCAGGGAGAGACCAGCGAGAGACCAGAGAGAGAGACCAGGGAGAGAGACCAGCGAGAGACCAGAGAGAGACCAGACAGAGACACCAGAGAGAGAGACCAGAGAGAGAGACCAGGGAGAGACCCGCCGAGGAGCCCGACTCCCGTCAGCTCATCCCTCGGTTTCATCCATTCATTTTCTTCCCCTTAATCCATTCCCGGGCCGGGGGGGGTGGCAGTCAGAGCTGCACCCAGTCCACTTAGCACCAGCCCCTCACTGATCCTCCTGCAGGTGCTGAGTCCACAGGAGCTGAGATCTTTCAGTGGGGGCTTTGGGCAGAGTGTCTTGCCCAAGGACACAACGACAGCAGTCATCAGTGGGAGTCGTGAAGTAGGTCTCGTGGTGGGCTCGAACCCACGACCTTCAGGCTCCTCCCTCTGTGGCTATAGTTGAATAAAGAAGCTTATTCCACGCTCCTCACAGCAGCAGTAGAACCATTGATGTGAATGTCATTTCAAAACGTTCTACCGGTCATTATTTTCTATAACGGACCTCTCAAAACAATAATGACCGCTGCCCTTTAGCAACGCACTCTCTGCTTGTCTTTCAGATGCGTGAATAACTCCACAAGTAGTTCCAGCCACTCCGGAGCTAGCCACGCTCAATAAACACAAATGCCAATCAATCAACGCCATTAAATGTTAATCGGAGAGTAATTTATACTTATCCAGTCTTAATACAAGTGCACGGAAGTTTTCAGAATTTTCCGTTTACGTTTTCATGACAAAAACACTGATGTAATGCGAGAAAAGGCGATCCCGAAAAACCCAGAAGTAGATACGGCACATTTTAGGAACATTTGCAGAGGATGGAATTATGGATTTAGGTCAAGTTTATGTTTGGGTCACTCACCGCTGATGTTCAGAATTCTGTGTTCAGTTTTCATGCAGTTCCAGAGAGTTCTAGTTTGGAAGTTACTAAGCTAACTGTTGCTAGCATAGCCACGGGAAAGCCTTAGGGAACTATTTTATTTTCTTTCTTATTTTAAATAAACCTTTCGGCATTCCTAAAAGTGGGACTGAAGTTTAGTTTGTGTGTTCTGTTGGTATAAAGCCGTGTAATAAGTACCTTCAGGGCGTCGGTACTTATTTTCCGATAATGACCTGCGTACTATACGTTATCTTACATATTTAGACCAGAGCGAACCCGTCACGCCCGAGGTAGATTTCTGGGATTTGAGCCACATGTGACGTGGACTTTATGGACTCTGACCACATCTCTGATTTTAAAGTCTTTAAACTGTCCTGCGTTGGAGCAAGAAGGAGCAGAGCGTACTTCAAGCACCAAGAAGAAGTTGGCCGAACTTATTCTATGTTCTGTTAAGTACTGTTAAGTACTGTTAAGTACTGTTAAGTACTGTTAAGTACTGTTAAGTACTGTTAAAACTTGACGATGTAAAACTGGATAAACCATGAAGATGAAGTCTCCGCTCGTACCTGTGCTGAGCTCTCAGGGGCCGTCTGCAAAGTGCTCGTACCTGTGCTGAGCTCTCAGGGGCCGTCTGCAAAGTGCTCGTACCTGTGCTGAGCTCTCAGGGGCCGTCTGCAAAGTGCTCGTACCTGTGCTGAGCTCTCAGGGGCCGTCTGCAAAGTGCGAGACTTCACAGAGTGTTGCAGATTGTTGAAGCAAAAACAGGTTTTAAAAATAGATATTTTCCCAGTTGTGATGGTTGTAGTAGCTCCCATTGGACGATAGCTAGCTGCTACAGGCAAACATTTGGTAGAATTATGTTGGTCCCTTCACACACGCCAAAATGAAACTGGAAAAATGTACAAATGTAAACAAAGACAGTGTTTTGATGAGTGTAGTGTCTTCACTAGTCACTTTACATGAACATCATGAAGATCATACATGAACATCA